TTCCGATCTTATATATATATACTGTAATTTGTATGTGTAATTTATGAAGTCAAATAATTAATATATGACAAGATATATTCGCCTTGCTATTGATTATATAAATTAATGTTTTTCTAATTTTTCAAAATTAAATTCTAACACCAAACTAACTCATTTAAACTCCTTCTTGGTTATGTTGATGTTTAAAATAAATAAATAAAATAAAATACACATCAAATTGATTGTTTTGGTTCAATCTTATTTGCCAAAACATGAATTTGGTAAATGAACATTAAATAACACATAAACTATTAATTTGATAAAAGCCAACCATTAGTATTTGATATACACATTAATCTTACCCTTATGTAGCAACAAAGAAACAAATGACAGCAAGATTCATGATTGATGGTAGAATGTTTTAGACTCGCCGCTCCGATTTTAATTTTTGCCAAATTCCAATCACGAAAGTGCGTAATTTTGTGTTTTTTTAATAAAAAATAAAAACTGACATGTTATGTGGAATTTTGCCCATTCGAGTTCAGTAAATTCTGCAATTCGTTAATTAATTAACAATGTTCACGTAACCCTGTTGTTTACTTAATGCTTCATTTTTGGCACCCATTCTTCATGCGAACTAAAAATTAAATAAATCATTAGTTTACCATCAAGTTCAGATTCATGACTCATGTTAATTATGTGGTCATTAGTTCTCATAACTTCAATCTAAGTTTCTATTCCATAACATTCATCACTTATGTTATGCAATATAAGCTTGTTATGACACACTTCAAGGAGATGGTACGTCATTTTTTATTTTAATTATTTCCCTAAGTTGTTTAACAAATTTTCATTCATTAATCGAATCAATATAATGGGTTACTCAAGTTACCTGGAGTAGGTAAGTTAACTCACTGATAGAGATGCAAATTTAGCTGCATATGATCTTGTTTGTTTGAATAAATATTGTATTAAGATGAATATAAGCTAGAATTTAATGATAATTAGTGTAAAATACTTTTATACTCCCAATGATAATTCACAATTCACATTCTTGTTCTGTTAGAAGTTCAATTAATATAGGTTTGGCTATCAGGGGTATAACTTACTGGGGACGGTTTTGATATGGTTTTATGATTAATTTGTAATTAAATGATAATGAAATGTAAAAATCAAGATACATATATATAGCTTTTTAGCTTTGTTTTGTTTGTATGTTAAACGTCACTCTCATGGATTTGCATGAGGTCCATACTCTAAAAATTAAATAAACCATTAGTTTACCATCAAGTTCGGATTCATGACTCATGTTAATTATGTGGTCATTAGGTCTTTAAACTTCAACCTAAGATTCTATTCCATAACATTCATCACTTATGCAATATAATCTTGTTATGACACGCTTCAAGGAGATGGTACGTCATTTTTTATTTTAATTATTTCCCTAAGTTGTTTAACAAATTTTCATTCATTAATCTAATCAATATAATGGGTTAGTCAAGTAACCTGGAGTAGGTAAGTTAACTCACTGATAGAGATGCAAATTTAGCTGCATATGATCTTGCTTGTTTGACTAAATATTATATAAAGATGAATATAAGCTAGAATTCAATGATAATTAGTGTAAAATACTTTTATACTCCCAATTATAATTCACAATTCACATTCTTGTTCTGTTGGAAGTTCAATTAATATAGGTTTAGCTATCAGGGGTATAACTTACTGGGGACGGTTTTGATATGGTTTTATGATTAATTTGTAATTAAATGATAATGTAATGTAAAAATCAAGATACATATATATAGCATTTTAGCTTTGTTTTGTTTGTATGTTACACGTCACTCTCATGGATTTGCATGAGGTCCATACTCTATCAGTAGCACCCCCTTTCCTAGTAATGGGGGGTCTCAATATTCTAACTTGTGCCGGATTTCAAGAATCATGATATAAATTAAAATACAATGCACATTCTTGTTCTGTTAGAAGTTCAATTAATATAGGTTTTCTGTTGTTTAGCTATCAGGGGTATAACTTACTGGGGACGGTTTTGACACATTATTCCAAGTTCTGCCTACCCCATCTTTTAATATTTTGCATCTGATGGTTTATTAATTCAAATTAGGAAGGGCCACTTAATGAGAAAATTACCATTAACGGTATCTAAGGAAGGTTCAAAGCATAATCGTTATAAAACCCATAATTATGCTACTCTTGTATTATTATGCCTTTCAAGTTTCAAGACTCCATGATATTTGCAAGACTTCAATTGACATTTGGCTCTTGGATATGGGAAACCACTATATATAATAGGTCACTGCTCTTATAGTGATCATTCAGGGTTAGAAAAGTAGCACTATAAGTAGTTGATTATGCTGTGAGAGACAATTAATCTTGAGTTTCCTACTTGGTGATCAATATCAAAACGTATCTGTTTTTTATTTTGATGGTTCAAAATATTAAAGGATCTCAAACTTAACGTGGCAGATTCTTGAGATTTGGCTAGCTCATCCTGAAGGGGCATTCCTTTGCATCATTCACTTCTTGATTGAGTTGTTATTCAAGGTTTAGGATATCATGGATGAAAATGGTAGTTCAAGTAATGCTCCCAAGAACAAGAGAAACCTGCCAGTCTCAGTTTTCTTCAAAGATGCAAGGTACCCTTATATATGTTATCAACTTATTTTGTTGGAGGATCAGCAAATAAATGTGTGACTTCCAAATACTAACACTTGATCTTATAAATATGAATGTAGACATGTTTTCAAGATGGACTCACTTGCCAAGGAGATTCTTGGGATTGCTTTCCCATCTGCATTGGCTGTTGCTGCTGATCCCATTGCTTCTCTTATAGACACTGCATTCATAGGCCACTTGGGTAAATTTCCTTGTCATTATATATGCTTACACAAAAGAGACATGCACACACATCTAAATTGCAATAATCATGGTTTTCTGAATTGGCTTGGTAACTTTTCACCAAGTGATGCTAGCTGCAAGTTGTACTAGTCATAATAAGGTTTTGTTTATCATATAGTCCCTATAAGTAACACTCATCTAGGAATCAGTCCCTATATGAAAAAAAAACCTTTAGTTTTTAGTACCTATAAAGGCAAGGCCGGAGGGAGGGAGGGGAACCAGGAGGGACTATAGTGTCCCCATTTTATTTTATTTTTTTAAAATGTATCGAAATTATTTTAAAAATTTCTTTTTACCCCTAAAATTTTTATAAAAAATATATATATATATATATAAGTTGATAGATGAAAATTATCACATTAGTTTACACTTAAGAAAAGAAAAAGAGAAATATATGCATGATTGATATATAATGTGATAGAAAAAGAGATAAAAAAATATAAATGATAATGAACTATTTATAATATTAGAATATTTACATATAAGTGTTTAAAAAAAATCTTGATCTCCCTTAAGACAAATTTATGGCTTCACTTATGTGTGTATGAAGACTAAAACTTAGCTATAATAAGATTCTCTTTAAGTTAACTTCTCCAAAAAGTACTTTTAAGATAAATAAATACGAAAGAAAAATGAAATGAGTTTTGCATAAACTAAAATTAACTTATTTATAAGTTAATTTGTAAAAGTTCTCTTATATTAATTTCTCTAAAACCTTATTTTTATCTTATGCTAAAGTTGGTTTTAGCTTATGAAAGTTAATTTCAATTTTTCTTCCGAAAGTGGTTCTGTATAAATTTATTCAAATAGACCCTATGTGCAAGAACTAATATATGTTAATATCGACATATAGAGGATTAAAACTTAAGCTTGTTTTCTATACTTGGAACTGATTCTTAAATAAGTGTCACTTATAAGTAATTAATGAAATCTAATAAGAATCACTTTAGCACTCTCACTTTCTAAGCTATATTTTTCATTTTTCATGTGTATAGGGCCGGTGGAGCTTGCTGCTGCAGGAGTTTCCATTGCTTTGTTCAACCAAGCTTCAAGAATTACCATCTTCCCTTTGGTTAGCATCACAACTTCCTTCGTGGCTGAGGAAAATACTATAGAAAAAATCAATAATGCAGCAGCAGCAGAAAAGCAGTGCAACGAAAGCATCAAGGCCAAGTCCAATCCCGATGATCATTTGATTCAAGACATAGAGAAAGGTGCATCCAAAGAGAATAATGAGACTCCAACAGAATCTTCAGCTGCAAGAGGTGGCACAAACGAGAATGTGGAAATGGATGGTACTTTCAGACCCTTTCTAGCTTTTCTTTTCTAATGTTGTGTATAAGGGTCCATGTTGGTGTAAATTTCTTCAAATGGATAAGCACAAGCCTAGGAGTAGGACATTCGTTATGATCAATATTATGCCATGAACATATGAGTGGAGGGAAATAAATGCATTGAAAGTATGGTTTTGGTTGTATATCACATTTTAATTCAATGATAAATGAATTCCTTATCAGATAGCAATACAAATATATGCAAGTCTACCTCTGCCACTAGTGGTAGTAACAAGAGTGTGTCAAAAGCTGGAAGGAAGAAAAGACACATTGCTTCAGCATCAACAGCATTACTTTTTGGAACAATCCTTGGTCTCCTTCAAGCTGCAACTCTTATATTTGCAGCCAAACCTCTACTAGCTGCAATGGGTCTGAAACCTGTACGTATCTTCTTTTTTCTTTTGGTAAAGGGTATATGTTACATATCTTACTTCATTCTCTAGAGGGCACTTTTCTAATCTTTTACTTTTTCTCCCTTGTGTAGGATTCTCCTATGCTAAATCCAGCTGTTAAGTACTTGAGATTGAGATCAATAGGTGCTCCTGCAGTTCTTCTCTCCTTGGCAATGCAAGGAATCTTTAGAGGATTCAAGGACACTACAACTCCTTTATATGTTATTGGTAGGTTGAAATGATCCATTGTCTTGACATGAAGCCTTTCAAAGTGAAAGCATCAAAAGGCTTAAATTTAATCATGCAAGTCAAATATTTAAAGGAACGTTGTATAACAATGTTAATTGCTTTCAAACAGAAGGAGCTCCAAATAAAAAAAGTTAATGGAAGATACTTTGTTTTTAAATTAGGCAACATTTTTCCAACTTAGTTTCATCTGTGTATGTTGTTTTGTTCAGTTTCGGGGTATGCATTGAATGTGGTTTTGGATCCAATTCTTATCTTCTACTGCAAATTGGGCATCAGAGGTGCAGCCATTTCACATGTGCTCTCTCAGTAAGTCTTGCTTTATCTTTTCCGAGTAATGTTCAAACATTTCATATAGCAAAACATGAACTTAAAAATGGTGACCCTTTCTAATTAGGTACGTGATGGCATTGGCCTTGTTGTTGATATTAATGAGAAAAGTGGATCTCGTACCTCCAAGTATGAAGGACTTGCAGATTTTCAGGTTTCTTAAAAACGGTATGGTGAAGGGCATTAAACACATGTTGATTTTTGTTACTATACTATTATTCAAATGAAATCTTACTTTGAGAAAACTTACGACTGTATCGTAGATGTTGTTCTCCATTTAATGCAAACTTTGGTAATATACATTTATACATATTACTGATATGAAATTCTAATTCTGATTAAAAAACAACACCAACAATATTTATAGTTACTCCTCCCTAGTAAAAATAGAGATAAAAAAATGGTCATGGACTCAAATATGAGTATATTAATCAAACTTATTTTGATAACTTATGAAGCTAAAACAACTCATTCATGTTAAAATTTGTTTTCAATTTCAATAGGAGGATTGTTGTTGGCCAGAGTAGTGGCAGTGACATTCTGCCAAACCTTGGCAGCATCATTGGCAGCAAGGTTTGGCCCAGTTCCTATGGCTGCATTCCAAACCTGCTTGCAGGTGTGGCTTACATCTTCCCTTCTTGCTGATGGTTTGGCAGTTGCTGTTCAGGTACAAAATTATTTTTCTTATGAGTGTGTTGTAATGTAATATATAACTATGCCCCTTTATTAAAAATTAAAAAAATTTGTAATTTTTTTTAATTAGTTTCATTTATAAATTTATAATTTTCAATAAATTTTATCTAATAAAAAAATGTGCTAAAAGAGTGGTGCTAGTCTGTTAGAAAGTGTATTAATGAGTAGTTTCTATATGTCACAGGCAATTCTAGCTTGTTCATTTGCTGAGAAAGATTATGAAAAGGTGCTTGCTACTGCAACACGAACACTGCAAATGAGTTTTATTTTAGGAGTTGGACTCTCTCTTGCTGTTGGAGTTGGATTATACTTTGGAGCTGGAATCTTCTCCAAAAGTGTTCTTGTTGTGCACTTGATCAGAATAGGCCTCCCGGTATAAACACATAAATATTCCTTGCACAAGAATGAATTTGATAATGTTTTTTCTGTTTGATTTAATTTTTATCTGATTAATTTCATTTTACCCTCCCAGTTTGTTGCTGCCACACAACCAATCAATTCATTAGCCTTCGTCTTTGATGGTGTGAACTATGGGGCATCTGATTTTGCATATTCTGCATACTCCTTGGTAAGTTCTCATGCCATAATTTTTTTATTTAATTTGTTATATAATATAATCTGCATCCTCTATGTAAATTTATTTAACAATTTTTCTGATGCACTTAATTTGTTCAGGTCACAGTGTCACTAGCAAGTGTTGCTTCATTGTTTCTTCTCTCTAAAAGCAAAGGTTTTGTTGGGATCTGGATTGCACTAACCATCTATATGAGTCTTCGCATGTTTGCTGGTATCTGGAGGTAAACACTTCTCATGTTAAAACCATGAAACTAGTATGTTTTCACAGTGTAAAAAAAAAATTCATAAAACTTATAATGTTTCTTAGGTTTTTTTAACGTTGTTTTCCAATTAGAATTTCAGTTTCAATGTCATAATTTGCCTAATAAAGATTTTCATTAAGTTCAATATAGATTGGTGAAACACTAATTCTTATAAAAATCTTTATACATTCAATAAATCACAATTGAGTTCATGTTAAATAAAATTTACTTAAATGGGTGTTGTTAAAGTTATTCTCCTTACATACATTACACGCGTTAGTAAAGTGAAATTTCAATTTCAATTGTAGAAATAATATTAAAAGCATTTGAGAAACTACATCTAAATTATATCTATATTATAAGTAACAAAATGTATAGGAACTATAACATGATGATTTTTTATGATAAGTTAACAATATAAAATTAATTTGCATTTTCGGTTCATAACCTATTTTCTTTGAGAAGTTCAATGACTATTAACTTAATTGTGTAAAGTACTTTTACGATATAAATTAACCATCAATTACAATTCACTTATTAACTAATTAATTACAACAAAGTGAAAATGATCTTCATCATATATGCCTAATTATATAAGCAAAATTGCAAATGCAGGATGGGAACCGGAACAGGACCATGGCGTTTTCTGAGAGGTCGTTCAATGTCTTGAAGATGACATCTAACAAAAGAAAATTTGTTGTTGGGCAGCAAATGTTTTGTACCACTTTTCACCATTTAGGATCAATTGTCTTTTTCCAAGACATCATTTCAGCTCTCTACTATGGTCATAGTCTTATTATATATTCAAGGCTCCATTTACACGTCCAAGTCTATATTAAAAGTATCGTTCTTCTTTCTTTTTTTTTTTCTTTCTTTATTGGCCTCTGTTTAGTGTATCCTCTGCTCATTGTCATATTTTGTCGCATTTAGAAGATTCTTCTTCCTATTAGTATGTAACCTTTGAGTGCATGTATACATATGAGAAAATAAATTACTTTTCCATCTTTTTGAGTTCCATTTCTTGCTTTTTCACCTGTAATTGCAATTTTGCAATCATATTCGGCTTCTCTACTACCTTTGTCTACACGATATACTTGTAGCTAACAGCATCCACGGCATGTTAGTGTAGGAAAAACCAAATAACAATCATATTTTATATGATTTTAGAGCACTATAAAATTTACTTATTGTTGAAGACATAATTTGGATGTACATATGAAAATTTGCTATGGCCCGTAGAAACTTCGAATCTGGGAAGCCAAGTCTTCTTTTATTTGATCACACGCTGAATATTTCAGGTTTTCAATAGGATAAACCTAGGGAGCAATTGCCTATTGTGATGGTAAAGAAGACATAGTCACACTATTTAACCCTAGACATCTCCTATCTTGGACCTAGAGGTTATGCCTATATTGCTTCCTTTACATATTAGAATTAGGTGTCCAAAGTCCATTAGCATTTGGTGACGTTAATTATAAGCTTAAATATGAGCAAATAAATCATAATATTAGCTCATTTTTTACAAAACAAAATTCACAATTGATTGTAACCCACAAGAATTGATAGAAAAATTATAGCAATCAATATTATATAGGAATTGAATAATATTGTGGAATCATTTCTAATTTGTTCTTTTTATCGATTAACTCACAAAGTCCTTCACTTAGCGATGAAAGGTTAGAGACCAAAGACTATTCTTTAACACTCTCACGCTTATTGCATATCGCCTTTCACTTTATTTTATAACACTTGTTATTCACAATGGTTATTTAGCTCAACACGAATTGTCTCGAACTTAGCATAAAAACTAATATTAATCATTATGACTCTCTCGTTTATCTTCCAAATATGTTACATTATATGTGAGTCATGTATTTAGTAATGACTAAGTCTTGCTTAGTGCCAAAATGCACTATAATCATTATGGTGCTCACACTTAGTGAGAATAGGGTCAAAATACACTATGGCCATCGCATTTTGAAATAAAAATTGGGGTGTTGCACTTGAAATGTTTAAAAAACTTTGGTGAAGAGTTAAGTAAAAGTAAAGCTTTGTCCTCATCATAAAGCAAAATCGTAGATATTATGGAAAAGACTCTACAAAAGATTGCTTTGCACTTACTTTACCTACTATGCTTTGACATAGTTTTTGCCATGCTCATTTTAGAAGAAAATGATGATAAGTAGCCTACTAGATCAAATAAAAGATACACGCTTTGTTGAAATGAATTTAATGATCGCATTAAATGCATCAATGGTAATCTCTAGGATTAGCAAAGAAGATAGATGAAGAAAATCGTAAGTAAGTTCAACTCAAAGTTACCATATCAATCAGCTTCTCTGAAGCTACTATAAAAGCATCAAGCCTTCAAACAACAACAAAAAAAAAGTGCCACATATAGAATAGAAGCGATAGAAGCAATATATATCAAGAAATTTGTATTGAGAAACATACAAAAATACACAAAGCTGGAAAACTACAAAGAAGAATTCTATTGTAAATCTTCTACATATTTCTTTTGTAGATTACTTGTGCTTTCATTGTTGATTACATCATGTATAAAAGAGACGAAACAATTTTGTAATCATTCATTACCTTGTTGTAAGGGTTGAGCTTGGAGAGGCTTGTGTGAAAGAATACTTAGTATTGAGCCTGGAGAGGTTTGGTTAAAGTAATACTTTATGTTAAGCCTGGAGAGACTTGTTGTTCAAAGAATACTTAGGTAGCTGCTTGAAGAGGCAAGTCAAAAACTACTTACGATTGAGTCAAAAGTAACTTGGTAAAAGAATACTTGTAACTTTGTGAAAGTTGGTGGAACTTAATTTGGTTGGATTGAGAACTGGACGTAGTCTCGATTGTTGAGACGAATTAATATAAAAATCTTTGGTGCTTCATTTGACTTTTCTTCAGCGCTTCATCCAATAAGGGATTTTATTTTCACTACAAAAATGTGAGTTTTTGATACACACTATTCAACCCCTCCTTCTAATGTATGTCTTTGCTCCACAATTTGGTATTAAAGCTCATTCTTTGACGAGGTTGAGCATCTAATCGTGCTAAAGGAAAAAGATCTAGAGATGAAGTAGTGAAGGATAATACTTACCAAAAGAAACTTTTCTCACAAGGCCTCCTACCTTCAATGGAGAAGACTACCTATACTCGAAGAACAAGACGTAGATGTTCATCAAATCCACCTAGTACTAACTTTGAAGAATCATCACTCAAAGAGATATAGCAATCACGAAGCCTAGGAGTCAGTATACATAGGATGATTACAATACCTAGTAGCTCAATACAAAAAACAAGATATATACTTACTTTCTCCTTATCTAGAATTGAGTATAACAAGTTTTATAGTTGCTCATCGATGAAGCAGATTGGGATGACATTAGGGTAACTCATAAGGGCACTGAAGATGCGAGGCTTAGACAAGCTGCCAAACTTTAAAGGCACTACAAGTTGTTCTCCATGAAGTAAAATGAAACCATTAATGAGATGTTTGGACGCTTCCAAACAATTATCAATGGGTTAAAATCATTGGGAACTGAGTTTTCAAAAACTCATAACAATCTAAAGATCTTGGACAATCTACTTAAGATCTAGGAGCCAAAAGCCATATCCATTGCTAAAGCACAAGATCTTAAAGTTCTCACTCTTGACGAACTTCTTGGAGCTCCTCAAGTTCATGAGGTTCATCTATACAATTAAAGAACACCGTGGAGCAAATGACACCATTGCTTTAAAGAGTGGTGAATCCAGCAAAAGGAAAGAAAAAAGGAAAAGTGTTGAAAGCTTATCTGAATTCAACTCAGATGAAGGTTTTGAAGACTCAACAAATGATGAGATTTCTCTTGTGTTTAAGAAGTTTAAGAACTTGTTGAAAAAGAAACGAAGGCTAAGGACCTTCCACATAAAAATAAAAAAATAAAAGAGAGAGAGAGAGAGAAATCCAAGAATCTTGGATCCCCTGAGAGTAAGGACAATGTCTGCTATGAATGTAGAAAACTTGGTCATGTAAAGGCAGATTGCCACTCTCTCAAGAAAAGGTGGTCAAGCAAAAGAAGACAAAAAAGAGCCTGATGGCCACCTGGGAAGACCTTGATAGCAGTAGCACCAACTTAGATGAAGAGAAGGCAAATATTTATCTAATGGCAGATGTTGAGACAAATATTGAGGTAAGCTCTCAATCCAGTTCCTATTCATCTAACTCTGAGGGAGAAGACATGTCTTATGAAACTTTACTTGCCAACTCTCATAAGATCTCTCTTGAGTACAAGAAACTTAAACAAAAAATTCAAAAAAAAAATATTAAACTCAAGAAAAATCTAATGAGATATGAGGTAGAAGTAAAGGATCTTAAAAACAAGATCACGGGTTTTGTTCCACCTGAGGCAGAATCTTTAAAAACTGAAAACCTACAACTCAAGAAGGACTTAACAAAATTTATAGATGGGACTTCTAAATTAAACATGCTTTTAAGACACAAAAGACTTTCATCTAACAAAAGTGATCTTGGCTTTGAGTTTAATTCAAAGATATTTTCAAATAGACCTAAGTCTACCTTCTATGCCAGTGGAAAAGAAGTAAAACCTCTAGACAGAAGAAAGGGACAAACTAAGGATCATGAGACTAACATAAGAGGACCCAAAAAGATCTGGGTACCAAAATCACAAATTATTCTCATTATAGATCTCCTTGGTGGGAAGAAGGAAGGATTCATGCTGGTACCTACACAATAGTTGCTCATGACACATGACGAGAGAAAAGTCTATGTTCCTAGACCTCTAGCCACATGAAGGATCTGTGTCTTTTGGAAGCAGAAAAGGATGATAAAATGTATAGGTTAGATAGGTAATGTTTTTATACCCACTGCACACAATGCTTTGTATGTTGAAGGTCTTAAGTATAACCTACTTAGCATAAGTCAATTTTGTGATTGTGGTTATACTGTAGTCTTTCACAAAGATGCATGCATAGTCAAGCATAGTAATGGATTTGTGTTTTTTATTGCTCAAAGAATACATAACCTCTATGAGACTAATCTTACTAGCTTAAGCAAACAAAATGTAACATGTCTAGTCTCTAGAAAAGATGAAAAATTCATTTAGCATAAAAGTCTTGAGCATGTCAATATGAAAAATATTTCAAAAATAACCAAAAAGGGTTTAGTGAGAAGACTGCCTGAGATTTCTTGAAAAACTCATCTTTTCTATGAAGCATGTTAGAAAGGGAAATAGATGAAATCATCTCAAAGCTAAAAAGGCAGTTTCCACTTCAAGACCACTAGAATTGTTACACATGGATATGTTTGGTCCAACTAGGACATTAAGTCTGGGAGGTATAATGTATGGATTTGTTACGGTAGATGACTACTCTAGATACACATGGGTATTCTTTCAAAGCCATAAACATGATTCATTTAAGGTCTTTGAGGTATTTTGTAAGCGTGTTCAAAATGAAAAAGGATTTTGTATAAATGTTATCAAAAGTGATCATGGAACTGAATTTCAAAAAGCTAATTTTCAAAATTTTTGTGAAAAACACAATATATTTCACAACTTTTCTTCATCAAGAACACATCAACAAAAGATGGTGGTTGGGAGAAAGAACAGAACTTTACAAGAAATAGCTAAAACACTTCTTTGTGAAAATGATTTACCATAAGATTTCTCGGGTTGAAGTAGTGAAGACAACATCTTATATTCAAAATAGAATATTGATAAGACCGTTATTGAAAAAAACTCCATATGAACTATGGAAAGGAAGGAGGCCCAACATATCATACTTTCATCCCTTTGAATGTGAGTGTTAAATCCTAAACACTAAAGGTCAACTTAGTAAGTTTGATTCTAAAGTGGATAAAGGAATCTTCCTTGGATACCCGAACACCTCAAAGGCATATAGAGTCTATAAACTCTAGAACTCCTATGGTAGAAGAATGTATCCATGTGGAATTTAATGATGCTCTAACGACTAATAGAAAATTATCATATCTAGAAGAGGATTTTGCATATTTG